GGCAAGCCCTACTTATAAAAAATACAGACTTTCTTCTGATCCCTACCCACTCTGATTCCCATTCCTCAGAGACAATTCTTTAAGCATTTTTCTCATGTTTACACCTGTATTGCCAATAATAAATTTCTACTGCTTTTCTATTTTATGCATCAATTTTGATTTCTTACTATGGGATATGAGGAATGATCTCTTTTATACCACCCATTCATGTACCATTTTCTTCCTCTCATTCTCAATTCGATTATATCATATATTCATTTTTATATTAATATGACCATATAAATCTTGTTCATAGCTGAACCACATCATTTATATTTCCATTCTTAGGCAATTGTTCAATTTCCCTGGAGTTAATAATTAACTCAAATTTTGCTTTATCCCATTTTCTAGGGTCCTGTCCACTTATTCATCTCTGTCTGAACTATGAAACTACTCCAATGGCTAATCTATGAATTCCGCATTTTATTGGAAATAAACCTCTGTCCTTGGTCTTCCTGCTCCAGGCTAGACTGTTTCCTCTTCAGACCAATTGTATAACTGTCATCCCTTCTCTTCTATGTTGGACTTGTTTTCTTGATCCCATGGTTGTACTTTGCTCTTTCACTTCCTTGTTTGCATGGAACACATCCCATTATACAGTGGTTTAGTAAGAGAGGAAACAAAGAGATAAACTTTAGAGATCTTACATATCTAAAAATTCCTTTATTCTACCCTTATTCTCTTTTTTTCAAACTTAAAAATGTGCAAGAATATTACTAAAACCTCCTTAATACCCTTCAGCAAGTCACCAGGTTTTAACATTGTTTCTGCATTTGTTTTATCATGTCTTTTCTCTATATTGTAGATGCATATTTTTTCTTGAATCATTTGAGTTACTTGCAGTTACCTTTCATATTTGAATGGTCGTTTGGCCACATATAGAATTCTACATTGGAAATCATTTCCTCTCAGAATTTTGAAAGCATCAATCCATTATCTTTCTTTCTTTCTTTTTTTTTTTAAAAAACTTCCTTATTGAATTTATCGGGGTGATAAAATTATATAGGTTTCATTCTATAACACATCATCTGTATATTGTATTGTGCATTCACCACCTCAAATCAAATTTCCTTCCATCAGTATTTATCCCCCTATAACTTCTTCTCCCTCCCCCAGTCCCCCATTCCCTCTGGTAGTCACCATGCTGCCATACTGCTATTTGTGTCTGTGAGTCTTGTGTGTGTGTGTGTGTGTATGTTTTGCTTAATCCCTTCACCTTTTTCACCCAGCCCAGCAGCCCCCCTCCCCTCTGATAACTGTCAGTCTGTTCTCTATGAGTCTGTTTCTATTTTGTTTGTTAGTTTATTTTGTTCATTAGATTCCATGTATAAGTGAAATCATCTGGTACTTGTCTTTCCCTGTCTGGCTTATTTCACTTAGCACAATTGCTCTGCAAGTCTATCCATGGTGTTGTAAAGGATAAGATTTCCATCTTTTTTACAGTTTAGTAGTATTCCACTGTAAATGTACCACAGCTCCCCCCCCCCCCCCCCACCCCCGCTCATCTACTGATGAACACTTGGGCTGCTTCCAAATCTTGGCTATTGTAAATAATGCTGCAACGATCACAGAGGTGCATATATTCTTTTGATTCAGTGTTTTGGGTTTCTTTGGATATATTCCCAGAAATGAAATCTCTGGGTCATAAGGCAGTTACATTTTTAATTTTAATTTTTTGTTAAACCTCACCTGAGGATATTTTTTCCATAGCTTTTCAGAGCGAGTGGAAGGGAGGGAGGGGCAGAGAGAGAGAGAGAGAAACATTGATGTGAAACACATTGATTGGCAGGTAGTGAACCTAAAACCCAAAACATGCCCTTGACTGGGAATCGAACCCTTGACCCTTTGATGTGTTGGCCAATGCTCACTGGGACACATTGGCCATGGCATTCATTTTTAATTTTTTGAGGAAACTCCATATTGCTTCTATAGTGGTTACACCAATCTGCATTCCACCAACAGTACATGAGGGTTCCCTTTTCTCCACATCCTCACCAATGCTTGTTGTTTGTTGATTTATTATTTTTTTATTTTATTTTATTTTTAAAATATATTTTTATTGATTTCAGATAGGAAAGGAGAGGAAGAGAGAGATAGAAACATCCATGATGAGAATCATTGATTGGCTGCCTCCTGCACGCCCCCTACTGGGGATTGAGCCCGCAACCCAGGCATGTGCCCTTGACCAGAATCGAACCTGGGACCCTTCAGTCAGCCGGCCAATGCTCTATCCACTGAGCAAAACCAGCTAAGGCTGATTTATTGATCATAGCAATTCTGACAGGTGTGAGGTGATATCTCATTGTAGTTTTTATTTCAATTTCTCTGATAATTAGTGACATTGAGCATTTTTATGTGTGTCTATTGTCCTCTTGGAAAAGTGTCTATTCAGGTCCTTTGCCCACTTTTTAATTAGATTATTTGGGGTTTCTTTGGTGTTGCCATTATCTTCTGGTTTCTGTTGTGCCTTGCTTATGCTCTCTGTAAGCTCTTCAACTTTTCTTTTCATCCTTGGTTGTCTGAACTTTTCCAATGAAGTGCAGTGGTGCAAGTCTGCTTTCCTTCACCATTTTGAGTGTCCAGTGGGCCTTTTCAGGTCTGGGAAATTCTTTGATAATTTCCCTGTCCATTATCACATTTTTCTGGAACTTCCATCAGTGAGATGTTGAAACTCCTAAAATGATCCTAGAATTTTATTCTCTTATTTCTCCAGTTTTCCTCTGTTGGCCTTTTGTTCTACTCTCTGGGAGACTTTTTCAACTTTATCTTTCACCCCTTCTACTGAATTCTTAATTCTGTCTGTCCTACTTTTGTTTTAATTTTCAAAAGCTCTTGCTTGTCACAGGGACGTGCTTTTTCTATAGCAACCTTGTTTTTTCTTTTACGTATACAATACATTCTCACATCTCTCTGACGATACTAATAATGCTTTTACCATAAGGTTTCTTTTGCTCTTTATATTGCCTCTTAGATGTGGATTAATTTTCTATTTGTGTATTTTGTACTTTGTCTTTCATTTTAGAGGCTCTCTTTAATTACTTGGTAATTCTTGGCTTTCTCCTTGTTCACAGGTTTATAAATGTGAGGTGCTGAGAAGCACATTGGAAGATTCTCTGTGAGTGAATGGGGCTCTGCAAATGTTTGGGGCCCAGCCATTTCACTGGAAGGATCTGTAAGTCCTTTCTCCTAGGCCCTTTGCTTTTATTGAAGAGGAATCCTGCCTGGAAAGGTAAAGTATGGCTGTCAGTATCCTGGGACTGAGTGGGAGAAAGAGGCTGGGAATATCAACTCTTAGCCATTGAACTTAATACCATGGTTTTCAGTAGGGTTTCTCATCTTCACATACCTATGCTAGTATTTCAAAGTCCAGAGCCTGTGTGTTCACTTCAAAGGTTAAACCGCCCACCTTGCCCTGACCGGTTTGGCTCAGTGGATAGAGCGTCGGCCTGCAGACTGAGGGGTCCCGGGTTCGATTCCGGTCAAGGGCATGTGCCTTGGTTGCGGGCACATCCCCAGTGGGGGGTGTGCAGGAGGCAGCTGATCGATGTTTCTCTCTCATCAATATTTCTAACTCTCTATCCCTCTCCCTTCCTCTCTGTAAAAAAATCAATAAAATATATTTTAAAAAAATAAATAAACCGCCTACCTTCTTCTGGGGTGGGAGAGGGACAAATGCCCGACTGCACAGGGTCTAAACTGTACTTTATGAAACTTTTAGTAAATCTTCCAGTTTTCAGCCCCAAACTTCCAACACCCCGGGCTTCCAAAGTGTTGTGCTTCCAATGTCTGAACTTTTCCTAGGTTTTGTGGCAGCATCTGTTTAGTGTGGGAGAGGTAGTGACACAGACCACAGCTTTATCCTTTCTTGCAGTTAGGTTCTGTGGCTGAATTGTGGCCAGTGGGAGGCTAGTCACCCCGATGTGTATGTACCCTTTCGGGCCTGGCCCTTATAAACAGCCATCAACCCTCTCCAGATTTGGTGGCCAGGAGGTGGACCCAGAGAATAGTCCTAAGAACTGCACTATCGCAGGTCCTAGAGTCCTGGGGTTTGTTCTGATTTTCCACCTCCATCCTTTGATTACAGAGCTCTATGCTTCTAAGACACAATCATTTCCATGGAGCTATTGGAGGAAGGGTGGGACCTGCGGAAACCTCAGTATGATAGACAGGAAAAGGGATCCCAACATTTGCTACTTTGCCTTCTGGTAGGGGCAAGGAAATAATACCATTTTCTTTACTTTTCTCTCTTACCCCATTATCAAGAACACATTTTGGTAAAAGATGGTTAAAACGGCTAGAAATTGTTTAAAAAATGACTAGAAATCTAAGTCCTATTTAGGTAAGTTGGGTGTTTATCATTGTATGTCTGGTTATACCCCAGCTAAGCATAGATTTTAGGCAAGTCAAAGAGTGATTTTAAGTCTGTCTCCAGCATAGAAATATATTTCTCATTTCAAGGACCTACATGTTCATTTCATTAGTAACTAGTAATAAAAACATGATAGGGTAACCCTTGACTTAGAGAAGCTCACCCTTCAGCAATTTCTCCTGGGAGCTCTTTGCCAGATACACACTGTTAGGAGGTGATGCCAGGGAGGGCATCCATACCACCCCCGAAGCTACTGTCCCCCTAGCTTCTCCCTTCTCTGCCCATAGCTCCTCGATGCTTTTTTGGCCCATTCTTCCCCACACTTTCCATCCATGCACCAGCCCCCTCCCCAAGAAATCTCCTTAACAATTAAACAAAATTAACTGAAAATTTATAAGCTCTATTTCCTTATTATCAGACTAAGTGATTTACATTTTGAGAACTTAACTATTGGACAGTATACAATTACATGGTTTCAGCTGATTTGAATATGGCATTTGTGGTCATTAAAAAAGAAGAGTTGAGATGACACCCTTAGGCATGTAGCTCCCTCACTGCATTGTTTGTATAAGAAAACCAGATTTACCCAAGAGTGCCTTCTCCAGGGGCGTGCCTTGCCGTGACTGTGAGAACTGTCTGTCCTGTTCTTTCTATGTGGAAATGTCCCTGTTGACTGTCACCCCGGCATCGGTACCAAGTTGCTGTTCCAGTGCATGAAGGCCCTTATCTGCAGGAAGAAGCAACGTCCAGGAAGCAGTGTTCAGAGACCTGTCTGGCACACAAGCAGGCATCTTTAAAAGGGGGAACCTCTTTCTGCCAGAGCGATCCCTGCGGAAAGTGGCTTTCAGTAGAGCTAAAAGGAACACACCCTGGGGCAGCTCTGCTTTGAACGTTGCTGTCCATTTAATAAACAGCCCTTCTCTTCTGACCAGCACCTTCGCCTTCCAACACCAGGAACAGCAAGCAGCAGGACTGAGTATAAACACTTGGAAGACAAAGGTAAATAAGGGTGGAATAATCAAATAAGTCACCTTTCCTCTTAGAGTAAACTGTCCCCTCCCCCGTCACGGGCAGCTACAGTGACACGTGGTCTGACCATAGAACAGCAGGGCTGGCTGCACAATTTCCTGCCCAGTCTAAATTGAAGATACACTCCCCTTGTTCAAAAAGCAGGAAAACATGTACTGTTAAAGGCACTATATGAAGCCTTTCCTCTCTTTCCTGGTTGCTCTCTTGACCTGCCTGAGTGTTTTTGAATTTGCTGTTTAATGTAACGCCCTTGGGGAGGGGATACTCGCAGGGTAAGTGCAAGTCCTGTCAGGCAGCTGGACCCCCACCCCCCTTCCTCCAGCTGCTGACCCTGCAGCAGTCTCAGTACCTGGACCGGGGGTGGGGGGGGTGGGGGGTGGTGGTGGTGGACGAGAGGCCTTTCCCTGGCGAGTTTCCCCGCCTTTACTCCCACAAACAATTGTGGTGCCCTCACCTTGCTGAAAAGCATTCCCGGGGTGTGTGTGACACACCCCAACCTTCCTGGGCCTTAGCCCAGGGCCCCACTGGGGGCAGAGCGTCACAGCAGAACATGGGCCTCGGAACATGAGCCTCAGCAGAATACAACCTGGTTGTCACCCGGGTGGAAAGTGGAAAGTGGCAGTGGTCGCAGTGGGGAGGGCAGACGTGGAGAAGGTGAGGCCTGGCAAAGCCCCAGGTGCCAGGTGATGGAGCGCCGACTGCCAAAAGGCGGGGAGCTGACAGCAGGCAAACCGCATGGCAGCTGAAGACTCCAAGGCACATGCTTCCAGTGTTCATCAGACTTCATTTACAAAACAGAAATTTAAAGAAAAAATGCTTAGCATTTTAAGGTGGCAACTGCATAGCAGTAAACACCAAGAGCAGGGGCTGTCTGAATGTGGGGTCCCATGCCACTGCTCTGTTCACACGCTTTGAAGCCTGCCATGTGGGGTAAAATTATTGAAATCAGTGAAGGTCCAGAAAGGCCTTTGCTTTTTATCACATTTGTGGCATTTTTTCATCTGGCCGCACACACAGTTTCATTTCTCTACCTTCTTCCCTGCCTGGATGCCATCTGCAAAACTTGGCTCCTGCTCTTACCAACTATTCTCTGGCATATTACAGCCCCTCTCTAAACGTTACCCATGGAATAGAAATAATGCAGTCATCTCATAAGATTGTTGTGAGCCCTGGCTGGTGTGGCTCAGTGGATACAGCGTCAGCCTGTGGACTGAAGGGTCCCGGGTTCGATTCTGAACAAGGGCACATGCCCGGGTTGCAGGCTCAGTCCCCAGTAGGGGGTGTGCAGGAAGCAACCGATCCATGATTCTCGCTCATCATTGATGTTTCTAGCTTTCTCTCCCTCTCCCTTCTTCTCTGAAATCAATAAAAATATATTTAAGACAAAAATATTGCTGTGAGGATTTAATGAAGTAAAGCTTATAGGGCACCAAGTCTAGTGACTGGCATATGTTTTATACAAATGGACATGCACATGTATAGTATTTACCCACATACAGGATACCCATACCTCTCTGCTAGGACACAGAGGGACACTACCAGAGTACTTAAAAGGTACTTAATAAGTAATTTTGGACAAAAGAATACAGTTAGTAAGAACATGTTTTTACATGTCAATCTAGCTAATGGATGCTTTAGGCAAAATGCAATGCAAATATAACTTTACAATTTAAAAGAGAAACCAGTAAAGCATTTTTTAAAATTTCAAACCTGTTGTAATTCAGAACATAAGCTTGACTGAATTGAGGACATGGAGAAAATGAAAAAATTCTGAAAAAAATATGATTTCAGAGTGAAAATAAGGCCTTATAAAAAAAGAAGAAAAAAATTGTTAGCATGGAGAAGGGTAAGAAAGAACTTTAATAGCAATATTGCCTTCAGTTAAAAGTGTATATTTTGTTATAAAAGTAGCACATGTTTATTATAGAAAACTTAGAAAATACACATTAGCAAAAAAATTAAAAATATGCACACTCCCATCATTCTCACACAATGAGAAAATTTGTACCAATTGATATCCTACTGTAAATATAGGTTTGATATCCTTGATAATACTGAGGCATTTTTATTTTTAACGTATATTTACTAATTTTACAGCTAAAATGTCATCTCATTGATATTTTTATTTTTAAAATTTTTATCTATTGATTTTAGAGAAGGGGAAGGAGAGAGAGAGAGATTTGTTCCGGTTATTTATGCATTTATTGGTTGATTCTTGTACAGGCCCTTTCCAGGGATTGAACCCAAAACCTTGGTGTATCGGGATCACTCTCTAACCAACTGAGCTGCCTGGCCAGGGCAAAAAATTAGAAATGTTTTAAAGTACACATAAAAAGTACAGAAAATAATAGAGCAGATGCAGCATTTCTATGTGTTTTTTCAGAAAGATGGCCTGCTAGGGGTGAGTTAGAGGCTGTAGTAATACAATTTGCCATGTTGCTAGAAAAATAAGTAAAATGTTTACCTTTTTTCCTTACTGTTGTGCAAGCGTTTCTTGTACAATAAGGATGTTAACCTTTTTCTATGCCACAGAGCTTTTTGTGTGTGACCAATTCATCCATGTGACTGATAAGAACCCTGGCCTAGTGGCTTGGTTGGTCGGAGCGTCATCCAGTACGCCGAAAGATCACGGGTTCCATCCCTGGTGATGGAACGTAGCTAGGTTGAGTGTATGATTCCCCCATCAGAGCGTGTACTGGAGGCAACATATCAATGTTTCTCTCTCACATCAATGTTACTCTCTCCCTCCCTCTCTCTCTCAAGTCAGTAAAAACATATCCTCGGGTGAGGATTAAAAAATACATTTTTCACAAAGTGACTGATAAGAACAGAACAAAAATAAATTAGTTTAAATTTAAAAAAAATTTAGTTGGACATGAGAAACAATTGCTTGACCATAGAGAGAATAAACTTAGGAAACAATTTGCCATTATAAAATCTCTGACCCTCCATCTGTCTTCTATGATTTACATGAAATCTAATTATGTAGGAGACAGGAACTAGATCAAATGGTTGTTCATGTTTTCTCCTGGTTCTGTTTATTTTCTTAGATTCTAAAAAGCCCTAATTTCAGAATTAGTAGGGAGAGGCCTGGCTTACTTGGACTATTTGATTTAACTCGCATTCCTCACTATTATAAGCTAAACAACTGAACCTTTGCAGGACTTTTGAGTGAGGGATGCTAAGTCTACTATTGTTTGTTGGTTCAGCAAGTAAATGTGAATTCCATTACATAACAACTAGGACAAGTGTTCTATTTATAAAAAAAACCAGCATGCTTACTGCTGAGTCATTAGGAGTCACTGGGACTGTACACAAACACAGATATTCAACACTAGGCAGGCATGTGGTAGGAATGCACTTCTCTAGCCCCTTGCAGAGAGGTGTGAACATTTAACGACTTTCACTGGCCAATGAAACATGACAGGAAGGAACATTTTTACTTCTGGGACCAAGTTTTAAAACTAAAGGTTTATATGTAGTTTATTGTTTGTCACTGATACATCAATAAAGAGGTATAAGTTTATTCACAAAGTTTACATGTATATACACTTTATTAAAGTTTATATATAGCTTATAATAAACTGCACGTGTTCAAAGTGTACAATGTTATGTGAGTATATACCCATGAAATCATCCCTACAATCAAGATAGTGAACATATCTGTCACCTCCAAAAGTTCTCACTTGTACTTTTGTAATCCCTCCCTCTCCCACCTCCCTGTCCCCTATTTCCAAGCAACCACCAATCTCTTTTCTATCACTATAGATTAGCTTTGAATTCTCTACAGTTTAGTCATACAGTAGGTATTCTTTTTTGGCTGGCTTCTTTCACTTAGTATGATAATTTTAAGATTCATCCATGTTGTTATATGTAGCGATAGTTCATTCAGTTTTTATTGCTGAGTGGCATGTCATTTGATGAATGTGCCAGTTTGTTTATCCATTCACCTGTTGATGGGCAGTTGAGCTGTTTCCAGCTTGGGTTCTACTACAAATAAGACTTCTGTAAACATTTGTGTCTAAGTCTTTATATGGTCAATAATTATATTTCTTTTGAGCAAATACTTAGGAGTGGACTGAGGGGATCATATGTTCCTTGTATGTTCAACTTAAGGAACTGCCAAATTGTTTTCCAAAGTGGTTGTAATATTGACATTGTCACCAGAAGTCCACAAGGGTTTCAGTTCTTCCCATCCTCATCAGTACTTGCTATGGGAGAAACCAAGATGGCGGCATAGGTTAACGCCAGAGATTGCTGCCTCGAACAACCACTTCAGAGATATAATTAAAGGACAGAATGGACATCATCCAGAACCACAGGAAGGCTGGCTGAGTGGAAATTCTACAACTAGGAGGAAAGAGAATATCATACCCAGACTCAGAGGAGGCACAGTGCTGAAGTGAAATACTCAGGTGCGGAGTGCGCACGTGGAGCAGGCTGGAGGCGGAGGGCGCGGTTGTTGTTTTCAATCGGGAGGGAGTTTCAGACTCTGAGCTCCAGATCCGGGCGAGTCTCTGGGGACCCAGACTCAAACGGGAGAAGTGGGACTGTCTGGCTTCGGTCGGAACTCGAAGGCAGCTTTCTATCCGAGGTTTGCAGCGGTTGCTGGGACTCTGAGAGGCAGAGCCCCTAGGGACGGAACTGAAAGCAGCCATAACTGCTTGCTCTGGCCCGTCCTGTAGATCCCCGGGGACCCGCCCCGCCCAAGCCCTGCACAGTGCCATTTGCCGGATAGCCTCAGGCAAAGGCTAGATTAGCACCGCCCTAGAGATCCAGCACAGAAGCTCTCCCACTGCAGACACAACTGACTCTCATAGCCAGTTAGCCTGGAGATCAAATCACCCCTGGTATTACCGAAAACAATCAAGGCTTAACTACAACAAGACTGCGCACAAAGACCACTAGGGGGTGCACCAAGAAAAGATATAAAAATGCGGAGACAAAGAAACAGGACACAAATGTCAGAA